AAGGAGGAGGCAATGAAGAGACTGCGTGGTCAACGGCTGTACGTATCCAGCCACTTCATTAAGCCAGCCCATTCGAACATTTCCTTTTATGAATAACTGAATAAATAAAATCAGCTAGCCCCATCTGTTATTCACCCTAACCACAATAGGGTGGATTGATAGCTTGTAGAGTGGGTTTTTGAGGAGATATGGAAAAAGTGTCCTTCCAGATTAATTCAAGGACAGCACTCTAAGGAGTCTGTTCCCCATTTTTCAAATGTTCTTATGTTTATTTACTGAAACAACAGGGGTAATATGACATCATAAATCTTTTAAAAATTGAAATAGTAGTGCCAGCCTTGAAAGATTAATAATAAGGAACGCCTTTTAGAGTGTGCTCATGGAGATGTAATATGAATGATTAGTGTTTTTGAACATTAGAATTACTGTGTATAATTGTAATGTTATAGCAGCTATATAGGAGTCAGTGATCCCTTAATGGAATACGGTGTGACTTTAATTATTTACATGGAAAAATCAGTGCTGATATAGTCTCTGAGTGATAGACCTACAGTTTCCTACCCCCTGCAAGTGTTATGAAGGAGTAACTCTGCTGGCTACGCTGATATACTCAGTCCATGTTTATTATTTATTTGGCTATAAATTTATACCCTACAAGTGATATGCTTTGCACAGAGGGCTTAGATCCTAGAGACACCTGGAGTATCTTTTAGGCTGTCTTCCTGAGGGGTGTGCCCTAGGTGCTGAAATTCACTGAAGAAGGATTTTGCTTTCAGCAGAACAATGCCGAGGTTGGAGGCTCAGTTTTGTTCCTTGGGCACTGTGGAGCTGTATCCCACTGAGGAGCCAAATGGCAATGCAGCGGTGGTTTGAAAACTGTTTGGTGGAATCACATCCTCAAAAGCAAGTTTAAAAAATGTGTGTGTTCATTTGGGAGACACATTTCCCTAGACTGGCTTCTGAGTAAAGTCAGAAAAAACAAACCAACAGACACACAAAGAGTTCTTCAGGTGCTTTTATAATGCCTGGAATATTAAAAGTATAGCGTTACTTATAAGCAACACATCACTGCCCTGCACAAAGGGCTGGATCACGTACCTTCGGTGGTCTGTGTCAGTAGTTGCCCTCCCTGTCCATGTTATGTTACCCACGGGGTGCCCCTTGCAGGACTTCTCAGCTGTATGGGGTGAGGGCACGTGCCCCCTGTGCCTCCCAGCTTAGCTGAGGGGCTTGAACACTCCTGGCTGCATTCAGAGCAGGCTGCACCAGTCCAGAGATCCTGCTTTGGAGACTTGCTCCCACGAACAATTGGTTTCATAGCAAAGGGAAGAAAGCAGAATTTTTTAAATCCTCTCAGCCCCAGCTGAGGGATTCATTGTGAAGCTATCAGACAGAATTCAGCAGAGTGGAAATCCCTGCTCTGATAAGCCCCGGCCCTGGAAGGCGAGGGGTGCAAAGTTCAGGATGGAGGTGCTCCTGCTGGATGCCCTGCGCTCCCTTGTGCGTGGCTCTCACTGCTGTTCCTGACCCGTGGTGTTACACGTCATTAATGTTAAAAAAAGAGCAGCTAACCAAATTGAGCTCCAAGCAATTCGCACCTAAACTACAGCCTGTCCTTTTTGCTGGAAAAAGGTTGCAATTCGGTGAAACACCGATTCCAAAAATTCCTGGTGCATGATCATGCACATGGGCGTATGACTTTGGCACGCAAGGAACTAAATGCAGGATATAAGAGCACATTTGTTAACACAGTTTATTGGCACACTTATTGGCAAAGCATACATAAAATACAGTTGTATTATATAACACACTGACTCACTGTGTCTTTACATGATGAGTTGAACATATTAATATGTAAATGAAAAAATTAGTTTCTTTTATAAAGTTTCACATAAATACACCAGAATCGGGGGGAAAAAAGTAAAAAAAAAATGGTTTGAGGGCTTTACAAAAATATTATACAAGAAATATACTATGAAAAGAAATAACAACAAAGCCAACTCAGATACAATAATAAAAACACAAAAGTTTTAGATTTATTAAGCTGCCCACAAAGTTAATGGATTACATGGCTTTAAAATATCTGGATCAACAGCAATTTTACAAAGCATAAACTCTCATAGGACTGGGTGTCTTTTTCCACATAAAAATATTTCTCATGTCTTTGATGAAAAAAAGACATTTCTTGTTTCAGCATTTTTATTAAATGATGGAAAGAGTATCTACTGGCATCAGCTAAATGTAAATTAAAAATGCTGGATCCTTAAAAGATTAACCAATGAAAGAAAAGTTAAAGAAAGAACAAAAGTTACTTTAAATTACTTTTCCTTAAAAGCTGGTTTTTTTTATTTATTTTTTTTTCTGAAACAAGAAATTTCAGGTGCAAGTTGAAAAGCAGAAAATATATTACAATTGTAAAAAGTTTTACATAGTTGCGTTAATGAGATCCTGAGCACTGATGACTTGTTAAAATATGGCCATTGTTTGATGAGGAAAAAAACAACCCCTCCAATAGAATGCATTGTCACAAATTTGCCATGAGATGCTATTTAATTTTCAATTATTTTAATTGAGGTCAGTGCCAGTATCATGTTGTATGTGAAAGCTTCCAAGAAATGTATAGGGAAGCTTATAAAAGATTTTTCCCTAATTAAAAAAAATCAGCTTTAGTTTAGAAATAGATACTGTATCCATTGAAAGGTTTCTTTATTTTATTTTTTTTTTCACGAATGTTGTGAAACAGTAATTAGTAACCCACTGACATACATCGCAGTGGCTACTGCTGCAGAATAACCTATTGGGAAGCTTGTGGTGTGGGGTTTTCAGATTTAGTCTCCTGGTTAGCAGGAGGTTTGCTGTTCCACGGGCTGTTATTTCCCAGTGCAGGTGAATTGTTGAAATCTTCTTCATCATCCATGCCATTTGCTGCATCATACTGCGTATTCTCTAATCTAGTGATAAGCCTTTCGTCTTCATCCCCAAATTCGCCTCCCATCAGAGTTGGTTCTCCTACCACCATCACATCCTGTGAACAGCACCCAATATTTGTTATATGGAAACCTTGAGAAAGAAAAAATCAACTTAAAAAATTTATGTTAGAGAACTTGCATCTTTTAATTTTGTGATATTTGAACAACAGAGTTAAAAGTTCCTGCATAGTAGGAACTAGGAGACAGGCTTACATTTCACTACTAATTTAAACGAAAAACTGTAACTCATCTCTCTAGCAGCATGCTCATGGCTCTGGATCTTAAACACCCCAGAACTGAAAAGCAGGTAGAATGATTTTTTTTTAATTATTTTTTAAAACAAGCAGGCTCTGAAACTGCCTTAAACTCCTGCTTGAGATATTCAGCCTTTATCCAGGCTTTCTTTCCTGAGCCATATGAAAAGGCACCAGGGTGCCTCTCAGTTGCAACTCTGTGATATGCGTATTTTAAAACTAGTTTAAAAGAAACCACATTTCTTATCCTCAGACTTTTCAAATGTGGAGCACAGCACTCTAATAAAGATGGTAACTCTCTTATCCTTAGCCAGCCAAGCCCTTTTACGCATCCAATATACTTGACATTCTGCTACTTAATTATGGTAATTAATTTAGGTAAAGTTTTCGATAAAAACAATGTTCACACTGATTTGACAATTTGCATAGCTAATTAAGTCATTAGCAAAAACCTGCTGATTGCCAACAAGCCCTGAATTTACCATCTGTTATTTCATGGTGCCTGTCACCTAACTCCATGTAGGCAACCCTGCCGCCAATCTGTGCAGTAAGAGGACCAATCTGTCCAGCTGGTACCGTAAAAGGAAGATGAAGAGTGCTAATTATAATTACACTGATGAAGCTAGTAGTCATCAAAAACTGAAGCATGCAAGAAAGAAAGAATTCATCTAATCACTACTTTAAGTACAAATTGTCCTTCCATGAAAACAAGTAAACCGCCTACTGTACTCCAGTGCATCACAGATTTGCTGCAAAAAACCTAACCAGCATGGGATAGAAAGGTGCAAACTTGAGATTGGAAAGCAAAGGTGCAAAGCCAGAGAGCTCTCTTGTTCTCTCTGTTCAATGGAGAATCAGGCTGCTGAACTAACCACTACAAGAAGTATGTGGGATGCATCTTTTCATGCAGCTCAGGTGGCAGGGCATCAGGTAACGTTTGGTAAAAGTGCAGTGACTCCAGATGTCTAGCTTTGTAACTACTGATTTAACAAGCCCTTCACAGAGTCCTAGAGAACAACAGATTCATATTTTAAAGGATCTGGTCCTCCTTGTGAATGTAAAAGCATTTGTAAAAAGCAAACAGAAGACAAGTGTTTGCATATAATCAGGTGCTGTGTTTTGTTGTGTTGTTTTTTTTTAATCTGATATGTGCTTCATTCCCCATGAAACAACACAAATCACTGCCTCTATTTACACTGTATCTTGATATCCCTTAGCAAAGGCTGACATGCTACAGAAGAATGTTTTTATCACATTTTCAGCCTGTGCTATGTGAAAAATTTGTGAGTAGATGGATACTGCTACATGATTTCCTCTTTGCATTCTCTGCATTTTGTTACTCCACATACCCATAAAAGACTTTGTTAAATCAATCTCACACATAGCTTTGCAACCCAGAAGTTTAAAAGACAAAGGTGTTTGTAACCAAAAGTTTATTCTAGTTCATTTCATCCCCCTAAACAACCGAAAACTTGTAGCGTGCACTGCTGAAACAGACCTGACCCCACTGCATTGCGAGAGCATTAACGACAAGAGAAACCTGGCAGAGGACAGCAAACTGGATCGGAGCGTGCAGAGATACGTCAGGCAAAAAGGACCACAGTGAGTGCAATACAGAGTCACAGACCGAGGTGCCAACAGTTCCTTTAACTTCAGTGCTCTTGAGTACGGACCCCTGATGCTGCCTCAAGTTCTGTGTGCTGCCATACCAGGAAGAGGTCAGCAGCTTGGATGAGACTTAGAGAAGTGCACCAAAAATAGCTATGGGGCTAGAGCAGCTGGCTGGGGAGGAGGCCGTGGAAAAGAATTAAACATGTATTGCATCGTCCAAATGATTGGGAGGGGTAAATATGCTTAATAGCTGCTGGTGCTGAAAGGAGGAGTATCGCTTTAGGCTAATCTGAAGTGCTAGGGTACTAAGATGCCATTAAGGAACTGAAAATGTAACCCCTACTGATAAGACAACATTCCTGGTGCTGAGAACTACGGACTGAGGATTAATGACCCCAATGGAAAGTGCTAGCTTTGCTGCTCTGGTCACCTAACAGTGGACAGGGAAAAAACTCAATCTGTGGCAGGGAACATTTGTGCATCAGTGGGGAGATGCTCAACGACCATGTAAGCCTTTCCCTCTCTAATTTATCTGACTCTTCTCAAATATTATTCCTTTAATTTAATGACACCCACTGAGAGGACAGTTTGCACTTATGTTTCTCTCCATGACACTGAGTCTCTCTCTCTCTCTCTCTCTCTCTCTCTGAGAATTAAACTAGAATTATATTGAGGTTAGTGGAGTTTTCCCTCATTCTATTTAAGAGATAGATATCACAGCATTAGTTACAGGACATTTAAAAGTGTATATAATATATATAGTCTTGACAATCCTGCTGCTTAGAGTTATGTCAGGCAAAAATACTGTCTCAGGAAGCGCACATGCTGGTTCCTCCCCATAGAGGATTCTGCTCCTCAGACTGAAAAGCTGAAGACCCCACCGAGTGCACCCCATTGAACCTCCACTCACTAATTCCCGTGCAATGACCACCAACCTCTGAGGAGGACTGGAAGTGACTCCTTTTAGAGCCCCTCAATGCTTCTCCTTAAATTGGCCAGTGGGGGTCACTGCTGTTGAATGACACAAGGCTCCATCCCTCCCAGGGTTGAGGCTGCAGCTCTGGAGTGCTCCTAGCTCCTGCTCATGGAGTGAGAAGCAGAATCCAAGAATTAAACCCTAGTCTCTTGCACGGCAGCATATTCTGCTACGGCCTAGTTATGGTAGCACATATTTGACTAGATTAGTTTAAAAAAGATTTAGACTGTAGTCACTCAATCTTATTAATTTACTCCGTGATTAGAAACAACATTTTTGGTGAAGGAATGTCTCATGATAGTAAAATATGGTTGCAGTGAAGCCCTGTAAATAAAGCAGTGGATGTTTTACATTATGTGATAGAAATGTATTATTTAATAATATAACCACAAAAGCAGCTTTCATGTATATCATACCTTTCATCCTGCAATATCCCTAATTACCATCCAAACTTAAATTGATGCATATAAACTACACACAGAGATCACTTCATACACAACCCAAATGCAAGCACTTCTATTTAACAGACCGGTCATTTCTCAGGCTTCATCTTTTTTATACCTAGCCTCAAAGTTTAGCTCTGCTATACCCAGTTATAGAACTAGACTTTTTAGCTTGGGATTTTAAAGATCATTCTGTGTCTAATCAATATCTTACTGATGTGTGGAGGTAAGAAAGTGTAAAAAAATGTACAGGCCATGTAAAAATCCCCATACCTATGCTTTCCATCTTTGCTTTGTTATTTTATTTTGCTTTGCTATTAATTTGTTTTGTTAATATGTAGGTGTCACTGTCCCCAGAAGTACACAAGCAGTGCTTCACAAGCCTGAGATAATTAAAAAATGCTTGAAACTATCAAGTAAATGTTTCAAACAAGCCTCATACTTCAAGAACTGGAAGTTGCACTAGTTTAAGCAGCCTGCACACCTGGAAGTGCTAAGTCAAAAGAAGGGTATCTCCTCCTTCCTTCTTACAGAACTGTGTTAGTGGTGATTATTTTAATAATTGACTTCATAACTCCTTGCCACAAAAAATATTAATGACTTAGAGCCCCATCGCTGCCCTCCGCAGTAATGGTCACTACCTCTAAGATAAAAACATCAGACTGACATTTGTGCTGAAATGATCTGTAGAAACAGAACTGACATTTTAATTAGGTTTCAGAGTAAACACTTTCTAGAGGAAAATGGTTATCTTTCACATCTCATCACAGTCCTCTCTGTTAACTTGACGTGCTGGTCTTGTTTGGTACATTTTTCGTAAAGCGCAACAACTGGAAACCAATTTGCTCACTCTCATCTCCTTAAGGCTAAATTTTAGATTCTGAATTGCACTGTTCTGAGACTTAGGGATAATTTCTGACACTAATCTTCTAGCCCTGGAACTGTAGCTCCGGTCCTTCATCTATTACAAAACACCTAAACCCGCTCCCTGTTTCTGAAACACGTAAGAGATTGTATTGCTCCCTCCCACATTAGCAGGTTTATTTATGGATTTGGCTTTTGAGGAGCTCACAAAGAACTACAAAGAGAAATTGAGACTATTGAGGTATATAACTCATTTAAAGAGCGCAAAGAGGCTCTAATTAAGACTCTGGATATAACAAAGAATAGTTGATTTACTTAGTGGCGTGCAGTGATGCTTTATTCTTTCCAACACAAATGATATTTCACTGAGCTCATGGCTACAGTATTATACTCAACTGGATCTTCATTAGTAAATAAAAGCAAAATCCACCTGTTAATTTCTACAGTTATGACTGGGAGCAGCACAGAAGTTCTTTGAGTTTGTGAGAGTTGTGTATTGTCAAATTTCCAAATTCAAATAGATTAAAATAGATCAATGTGGACTGTTTTCATTAAACTTAACTGAAATTGATTTTTAAGTGATATTAACCACTTTTGATCATCTTGCTTACACCTATAATCCACAGATCACAGTATACAGGTCTACATACAAGGGCCTGGTTTTGCACGACAGTTTTATTTGAAACATAATAATAATAATAATAATAATAATAATAATAATAATAATAATAATAATAATAATAATAATAATAATAATAATAATAATAATAAATAAAGCAAAGAAATCATATCTCAGCCCGTGAAGAGGCTTGAAACCTGAACAAACGTATGGAAGAACACTGCAACTAGCTTCAAATATTAGAGGAAATTAGAAATGTGTAAATGATAAACAATGACACATCCAAATTAGATAACTAACTTACTTTGAAATCATAGGAAAGCTAACATGAGAAAGACAAGTTTGCTATGACCCTTGTGGAAGGAATCTTGCCCATCTTTGCTCTTGGAGGAAAGAAGAAATTGGTAATCCTGGTTTCTGCACAATGGGTTAACGTTTCTTCCAAAGATCAGACAAGATCAAGATCATGAACAAATCTGACTGGAATGACTGGAATCTGCTGAGACTAAGACATCTGAGTGGACTACAGTTTTTTTTGTCCCTGTTTTGTGAACTTTCTTTACACACTAAACAAAACCCAGTGCATTTGTGGAAGTATTCTGCCTGGACCAATGAAAGCCCAAGAGAAGCAAACTTCAGGTGAGAAAAATATTTTTCTATTTCTGCTGTTGGAGAGACTTCAGTGGCATTTAGTTCTGCTTCCAACCCATTGCAGCATGTTGCCTCAGCATCAATACATTCCAGTCAAAAGAATCACTGAACAACTGAAAAACCAACCTACACGAGTTCTGCAGGGCAATCATGTAGCACATTGACTAACTACACTTGTTTTAAGAAAGCTCACAATATGTAGGAAAAGTGTTAAGCAAGGGACTTGGGCAGGAAGAATCCTATTGATAATAGGAGATGATGAAGGTCTGTAACCAGTAGCATGAGAATTAACAGAATCATAGAGGATGGGAAATATACATAAGGGAAAATGAGTGTAACAGAGTGCAAGTAACCATCAAAAGGGCAAAACTTTGTATTTTATTTAGTAGAGCTGAGAAAGTATTAAAAAACAGCTAGAAACATAAGGACAGCATAAGAGTGACCCTGTTCAAATTACTGATGAGAGGGAAGATGCATACCCACCCACTGACAGAGCCCCTTAGGATGCTTTTGAAGACTGTGTCATTAAAGATGTATCAGAACGTGTCAGCACACTCGAAGTGCTAATAAATTTAAGGCAACACAAAGGGTACGAATGATACTGATTGATTAGGTTTCAGCAGCTGAACTTCAGGGTGCAGTACTAACCTGACCCATGCATGGAAATACAACAACATCTTACTTTCTGGGCTTGGATCTCTGTTGTCAGTACTGTCCCTGCCTGAAGAACTGATCAGAAAATACTCAGGTAGAGGGAATGGCACAACATCCTATTAATGAAGAAGCATGTGTATGTGACAAACACCATTTCATCTCATTGATCTAATTTTGTTTAGCACTGTGTATTTATCTGAAGATCTGGAAGGGACTATGGGGAAAATGAGAAATCTTTCTGAAGTTTCAAACTTTTTCATAGCTGACAGTACTCCAGCTGCTTTCCTGAAAGTGGAAAATTTGCCTCTCCAGACATGAAGAACTCATTACACAAACAGAAGCTAATGGTGTGGGTGAGAAGCTGATGAGGGTTATGGTAAGTTCACATATTTGCCAGAGTGCACACAGCATTACTGTAGCAGCAAAACTGAATAATTACTAATATTCTAAACCAAGAAACATTACATAGAGTAGAGGCTGTGGAAATGTTCTATAACCAGGATTAATTTACTGTCAAAGAGAAAACAATATAGAAGCATAGAAGTGACAGGAAGTTAGATTCTGTTATGGTGGAGGGGTTGTCTGGTTGTCTTTGTTGGCTGGGAAGAAGCCACTGGAGAAAAAGAGAAAGCTTGCACATGGAGTACATGACATTATATTAATGCAGGTTTGGTATGAATGTGAGCCCATTGTTGGGGTTCTCCAGCAAAGACGATGGGAAAAATGGAACTGGAACTACCTTGGCTTATGCAAGTCATCCGGACAGAAGATGCAGTGGTTTCATTCCTCTTTAATAATAATGGAAAGAATGATTTTAACATGGAAAATGAATGATTTCAGAAGTTTTTTTCTACTGAGTAGGAAAGACCCATTCACAGAAAGCTGTGTGGCTGAATGAAGCTTTTAATAGTGGAAAACTGAGAAAACTCTCATATTGTGTTTGAAGGTATCTTGTCTTCTATTGCATATGAAGAAAATCAAACATTAACTACTGACTAGTTCACTGAGGTAAAGTTAAGAGAAAGAAACAGAAGGCAAGTTACTGCTACCTGCCACTAACTTCAGAAAGCAGTGGCATGTCTGTAATAAGAAGGACCGCTTCAAAAATGCATAATTTTGAATAAACACAGTAACATTTCTCCATTTAACTGAAAAGTGTTGAATAGTTTTACACCAAAATATCTTACTGCTAAAATTATTTTGAGTTCTGTCTATCCTGCAGGATGGCCCAACCATCAATTCCATCTGGTTTGCTATCTTTGCCTTCAGGAAGATGGGGAGAACTGTTAGTATGTCAAATTGAACAGCTAACCATTTTCCACTGTGCAGAGTGAAAAGAGAAGGGTCCTAAAAAAGAAACCTAATACTCCACAAAAGAAGAGTTTGGACCATCTTGCTACTCTGGTACAGAAAGCAAATAACATTGAAAAAAAAATAGCTATGCAGCATCCTGAAAGTCAATGAAGACTAAAAATCCATCCCTCACACCATGATAAACTTCACCGTGATGTCTCAGATGCTCAACTATTATCCCCAACAGGAAGAGCAGCCTTGACTACTTCGTCTGTCAGGAATAGCCTCTGAGTTCCTGAAGTCAGCCTGAGTATCAGTGGGAGTGACAGGTAACTATCAGAGGGCCCAATTACATTCAAACATCCGAGCACACGCAGCTACCACTGAAGCCAACAAAAGTCAACATCTCTCCAGGGAGGAGCAGGCTTCAGAGGGGCAGGGGGGTCAGGCTCTGGTCCTGCTGAACTGAACTCAGGGCAGGGAGCAGCTGAGATACAGTGATCTTCCTGTCTTTTAAAGTTGGAGGCAGCAGGGAACTAGCTGGTTGCTCAGTTTTACACCTAATTGCTGTTTTTTCATAAGTGTGGTTGATTATTGATCCAAGGGGTTTTCTGGCAGACACAATCAGCAAGGCAGAGTGGTCTCTGCCACTAGGGGATCAGGTAGCTGGCCTTCTGAATGCTTTGTGCTGCCAGAAAAGCCCAGAGATGCCTATATTAGGGAAAGAATCTGACTCCAGGGATGGGAGCCACGTGAAAATTTTAATATGACAAGGAGAAAATATGAGTTTAATGTACTGAAGCCCAAAGCTGCTGTAAGCTAGTGGATTGCTGACTCAGTTGCTAAACAAAAATCTTCATTTCATTTCATTTCACTGCTGTTAGTCTACTCCTCTTTTTTATCTGAGTATTCAAGCTTTCTAGGAAGTGCCTGCTTTGTGCTAACAAAAGGCCTATATTCTTTGTCAGGCTTCAGAAGAGACATAGCCCTTTCCTATCTGCTGATCAGAAATCCAATAAAAATCCCTGCATGTTATTCCCAAGATACCACTTTATAGTTCCTATAATATCAAATTAATTTCCCCAACTTTAAAATGCATGAGCTATCTCCTTATTGACTAAGGCATACTTTGTCACAATTTGGGGTCACATTACCCCTATATCATGACTAAGGCAATAAATGTGACATTATTAAAATGCTGGTGGAGTTCTATAAATGATTTCGTGTTTCCCTATATAATTAGGATGCCAACAGTTACAGCTAGCGAGGTGAATAAACTGATACCCATATTCCGAGGGATCTACCCTGTGCAAATGGAGTGGTTTGAGAACAAGATAAACTCTTCAAGCAAGGTGACTCATAACCTTGTCCACTGGAGCACCCGAACCCAGCACCGATTAGAGATAAGGTACTAACATAGTGAGACAAGTGGTCTGCTCAGGTGTGGCAACCCTGCTGCACACGGGCTCATGCCCACATAGCACTGGGTTTTTGGACATCTGCAAGACACTCTGCTCATGCTACATCTGAACACATGGGGCCCAGTCTGAATCCTACCACCAGTGGAAAGAGTCCCATTGGCGAGCTGGCCTCAGCCTTAAAAAGTCACATCTGTTTCTCAAGGTAGCCCTGCATCAGGGTGGATCATTCAACCTGCACTGCAGAATGGCTTCTTCACATCTCCCCACTAATTCCCCAGCTTCCACGGCATACCGTGTGTGCAAGGCCGCCTTTTGCTTGTTATATTTTAGGCTCAAGAATGCACCTTCTTTACAAGGAAAGAATTAAAGCACTGTAAGTGATTGGGGCCTAAAAGGAAAGTGAGACTTACAGGTACCTGACTTGATAGACTCAGGTTTGCAGCAGCTGACTTTTTCTTGCTGTTGGTGCTGTTTGCGTTGTTCCCAGCACTGCTGTTCGAAGTGCTGCTGGTGGAGTTTTTCCTTTTTCTCCGTTTGGTTGTCGGTTGTCTTGTGGGTTCTGCTGCAATAAAATGGTGAGAAGCAAAGAAAATGGAAAATGTTGTAAAGTGTGTGCTAAACTGAACCACAAGTAGAAGTGTTGAAATACTTTTTTCATCTAGTTTTACATTCATAAGTTTACTACTACTAGTAGTAGTTAGTTTAGATTTAACATATGAACCTTGGAATACTATTTGGAACCAAACCAGTAGAATCTGCTTTCAATTTTATATAATGGACTAATGAAGTTTATTCTCCCAGATTATCTATAAAGATACATGAAGGCATTCTACCAATGGGGATATCATGGTAATTATCATGATGTTAAAAGGGGCTGTGTAACTTGCTGAAGGTTTTGCTAAAGAAAAATCCAGATCTTATTCTGATGTAGATTACAGCCTCAGCTGCGTTGGCCAGAGACAAAGGAACGAGGCAGGCAGCTTTCTGCCCTATTGCTGCCAGTGATACAACAAATACCACAGAATTCCCTTCCAGCTCTGGTGTGGGCTTCATCTTTAAAACTGACACTCCAAAGGAACATGTTAAAAAGTGCTGAATGCCATTTATTTGCAAATCTTCCAAGCTTAGACCAAACTGGGACAATTGCATAATTTGTCCTAAATTGGAGTAGAACAAAGGTAGCAGTTGTACTTTGCAAAATTTGGCCTGGGCACCCATGTAAATAGTCTTAAATACGCAAATCTTTAATAATCTGTAAAAAAGGAGAATTATTATTTTCAGGTAAGAGAAAGGAGATTAGGTCCAGGCCTGTAAATAACATTATATTAGACTCAAAGACAATTAATTATGAATTGTAGCTGTAATTTCAGAGTCACAGCAGGAAGCTGAATTACACAAACTATGAATTCTAATGGAGCCAGTAGGCATTTTGTATTCTATCTACATGTATTTTTGAACTAAATTATGTCCTATGCACAGTGGATCCATTTGAACGTGCACATCTATAAAACTTGCTTTACATTGTGTTGCATCAGACTGAAATCATGCAAAATCAAAATCATTTTCAAGCTTAATTTTGGAACAGTATTAATTCTTATTATTTTCCTTTGCAAGTAAATCTGCACCAAAATTTCCCATTGTTTCCATATTCACTTAATTATAAAATAAATTAAATGCTAGAAAACAAACATACCTGGTGGGGCCACCATTCTCTGCCATTTTTGAAACAAGCAAGTCTTCAAGCAGTCTCGAGGACTTAGATTGTAAGTTTTATGTCTTGACATCAGTTCCTGCATTGGCTCCAGTATTACACACAACTGGAAGAAAAAGTCAAAATTGAATGAATTCACCCAATCAAAGATTCAGTTGATCAGTATTTACATAGCTGGAAAGTATATCCTCAGCTTTTAAATTTTATTTTTTACCCTAGCCAACACAGTATGCCTCCTACAGCTCAGTTTAATCTGCACTGGGATTGCAGGACCAAAACTCTGAACTGAGACAACTTTTTGCTCACTATTTGCTACCTGAGGTATTTTTTTGGAGAGCAGAAAACTGTCATGCTTGATTGGCATAGCTGTAAAGATGAATTAATAAATCATAAAATGCCCATAGCAGCTTCTCATTCCAGTATAGCAAGATGTACACATAGTGATCTTCTGACCTGCTGCACCCACAATGAGGAGTTCTCAGGAATGAGGCTTTAAAGAAAATCTTTTATCTTGCTATTTCATGCAAAATAATTCAAATAATTTTGTTGCCTTCTTGTTACGAGGACCATACATTCTCTTCCCATCACATGTATAATGACATGTCCAAGAAAAAAGCATTTTATTTTCCTTGTCAGCTTGAATGCTCTATTATGTTGAAGCTGAACATTTCTGAAGCAGACCCCTTCTTCAAATACAGTTGCGTCTTATACATTTTCTATCTGCTCACTTAATAATTAAAATCACTGTTCACTGCTTTTTGCTCCTGTTAGCACAGCAGATCTAGCATAAAGAACGGAGTGAGCTGGTTTCTATTCCCTCCTGTTTATCACCACAGAATCATTTCCAGTCAGTTAAACCTTATGCAAAGCCACAGAAGACAACAGAATTGCACATACGTAATTGAGGGCTTACCCTCATTTGCAGAACCCTTGTTTTTTGGTCATCCTACATAAGAAGAAAAAATCCCGATTGACCCCTGGCTTCTACCTGAAATTTGCAGGGCTGGCACACAGGAGGAAAAGGTTCCTTCCTTGTTAACTGAGCACATTTGATAAGGAAATAGTTGACACAGAACAAACATGGAGCCCACATGTCACTTTTACAGACAATTCTCAAAGCAGATCTGCATTTAAAAGTAGGGAAGGTTTGGCTTTTTACCAACAGGAGGAGGGCAACAAGTTGGTCAAATTATTAGAGCTCAGAATGGGCACTGCAGGCAGGCATAACGTAATGTGACTCTTGATCTGAGTGCAACAGTCCTTTACTGAATTTTTAGTAGGTCTTGCTGACGGAGCACCTTGGATTTATTTCAGCAGGTGATGTTTTCCTTCCATGCTTCTACAAATGTGTAAGACATGAAGCAAATTCTTCTCTCTGGGCTGCACAGCTGATCAATGTTTGTTCCAGTCTCCCCATGCACACGCTACTCTCATTCATATAAACAGAGATTCCGAGCATGCAGGAAAAATAGCTGAAAGGGAGCTGCCATGAGGACTTAGAGATGAATTCAGAATTTAAATATTATTATGTATTGGCACTATCTTCTGATGAGCCTTTCATTAAGAGCAGTTAAAACAAAGATAACATAAAGCAGCAGGGAGAATCAAGAGCTTCAGAATGAAGAATTATTTTTTTTCCAGCTGCAGAAATTGAATCTGCAATTGCCTCATTGACTTTTTTCTTACATAGACTTCTAAAATATATTTTTTGTACACAAATATCTGCAAGGTAATCTAATAGACAGAGAGCTTCTATCATAGTGTGCACTCTGGGCTCAGCCTTTCCTCTGGTTCAATGTTCTACCAAAAATTAAGAGCACCAGGTTCTGAAGCACATGCAGGATCCAGTTTGTGCTGTGAAAGAGATGTTGTATTTTGAGTTCTTCAATTTATTCTGAAACCTGCAGGCACTTGCTCAGGTTTTGTGAATGTGTGTGTGAGAGAGAGGAATTTGTGATTATAATCTACACCATTGCTTTGGTTCTCAAAAATCTGTTTCTGGCAGGGCAGCCTAAATCGTGTCATTATGCGCAGATACTAACTAGTACGAAAAAGATAGCTGTAATAATTCTTAACAAACTAGTTAGCCTGGGCAGAGCACTACACTCACACAGCTCTACTGCTGCTGGGACTAAAAGTATGTAAATATACACATAGGGTCTTCCAAGATTTCCTTAGGGACACTTTATTCCTGACACATTTACTCCTCTGTATATATTTATTGTTGGCAACAAAGAGAATGTTTCTTCTTTATCATCTGGCAAAGATGCTTCCTATTGTGTACAAGCTGTAATGTGCACTGAGAACTATGCCGTCACTGTAGTCTGTAGATAACTTGGTGCTAACTTGATCTGCTTATAATCTCCTTCCTTTCATACCCAAGATTAAAATTGGATATGGACCCAAAACACAGCAAGGCTGACTGATGTCACACACATGGATTCAAAGTGACAGGCACAGGGGCCCTGCACTGAGACATGGGACACGCTCATCTTCTTGATATCTAGGAGCTGTACAGGCTCGCATGAATTCCTCTTCTGGTGCTGGGGCTGGGGAATTCCCAACCAATTTCTCCCTCTGAAGTCTGCAAATTGTAAGGTCAGATGCTCAAGTAACAGGAGGACATTGCACTCTATAGTGACAAGTCCATTTTAAATGCGTCTAGCTCATGAGAATTGGACACAAATGTAAAACGAACTGGATTAACGATGATTGATATTAAATCTCACAGTCTTCTTCTGTGCCCTTCGAGACCTACTTGAAATCCAACATGACTCAAAACCAAATCCCTGAAAGAGGAAAAGATCGCGGTCCAATTACCTTAAGTCTGAGGCATCTGCCAATGACAATCTGTATCTTGTTTTTTGCAAAGAGCTAGACAAAAAATGCTGGGAAAAGATGCATTTAATATATGGGTTGGCCAAAACCACAGAGTCACAGAGTGGCTGAGGCTGGAAGGGAGCTCCGGAGGCCATTTGGTTCAACTCCCTGCTCAAGCAGGGGACTTGAGCAGCTTGCCCAGGACTATGTCCTGAGACCTGCCACCTGCCATCTTTAACTATTCGTGAGCAGGGTAACTGGCAGACAGGTTTGTCTGTACTATTTTACCGAGTGACTCCTTAAAACAAAGCTAACAAAATGTTTTACATACTCCTACATTAATTTGCATACAGAAGAAGCCCGAGGCATCGACTGCCTATTCCCCACAGACCACCTCATCTCAGTCTGTAAGATTCCTTTTCAAAATATCTATTTTAACATTTTTCAAGGATTGCGTAATATTAAAATATACAAGCCTTTACTGTAGCACTATAATAATAATATTTAGAACACCAACTAAACCAATCTCTTCTTCAAGCATTTTCTGCACAGCTCAGAACCAGTCACCCAAGAAAATACCCTAAAGACTTAAAGACTGCAGGGCAGTGACAGTGTATGATCACAGAAATAATTTCTACATTTCTAGGGACCCAGAATCCTTAATAGCAATGCTTGACAAGGCATGAGTTAGACATTTCCTTGCTCCACATTTAGACAATACAAAAGGTGGGACTCATTTGCCTGCACACAGGGTCTCGTGCCAGCTGAAATGCCATAGATTGCGCTGGATCGGAGCCAGCTGGTCTCTCTTGCTGTCCCAGAAGGACACAAGGCTCCGTGTGGATGTTTCAGGCACTAGAAGGTGTCTTAAGTGCTTGGGCATCTGAACTAAGCCTGAAGTTAATAGGAAAAATATGCTTCTCTGGCTTTTAAATCTCTGAAGAATGAGTATCATAACAGACGATATGATCATCCCTTTCCCTCTCCAGTGCTAAAACATCCTGAAAGATCTTGACATTACTCGTGTTAGCCCAATGTGATTAGATTTGATTTCCAGTCATGTTTTGTTATTTGAACTCATCACCACGATGTCTGACCACTGCTGCAGAACCATCACTGTTTCACTGTGAGTAGCACTGAGCTGGATTTGGTCCTGGAGTAGACCACAGTGCTTTAGAGCAAGACAAGTCATTGGCTTGAAAAGTCCATGTTGGGTGCCCAGCATCCACTGGGACACATATGCATGCATTTTGGCATTGTATAGAGTGTCAGCGACTTTGATAGAGTTCCATATGGATCCTATGTCCAATTCATCAATTACAGGGCTGAGATCCAACTTGAGAAAATGGTAATGTTATACCCTTGGGGCTCAGGGAAGTGAAAGTAGGGAACATAATAAAGCACATGGCTTTCTGCATTAGTAAAGCACACATCTGGAAGGATTTGATTTATTTTATTTTTTTAATGACTTTTTTTTTTTTTTAGAGGAGACTAGAATTTATAGGTTTCAGAAAGGAGTGTGTTTTAGGAAGGAAGTTATATGAGGAGATACTGGAGGCATTGCAGACAGAAGTTAGAGGGTTCTGAGAATATGGATCCACAGAATAATTTCCTGTAGCACTTCAGTTATCAGCAGAGCCAAAATCTGCCTGCATCAGTACGGGGTCAGACCCAGCTCTGAGACCACTACAGTCACACCGAGAATGTATTCAGCTTTACGATTGTTGTTCTGATGCTGGTTTTCTATTCTATTCTGAGAAAGGATGTCTGTTCTGATAGCACTGAGGATTAGCAGAAAGACCAATGTGAAAATTCTCTTTTGCCTTACTTTTGTATGGCATACAGAAGCTTATGTAGTCTATCAGTAATTTAATTTCTGCACACCCTCTTCAGTGAAACCTCTTGTCTCCATCAGACTTTTTACGATTCCTATAGCGAAGGATTCATGCGCTCCTGGTGACGATGCTGCGGTTCTGCCAGCTCTGAGCTGCAGGTGGCAGAGCTGACCCAGCTAACAATCTCTCCCCCTGCTTCCATGCCATAGAGCACAAAAGAACTGCATCGTTTCAGTCATTCAATGCCTTTTGCATTTTAAAGAGAATTCAGTGGGACTCGAGACTTGCAATACTTATGCGGTGAGGCTGACATAATCCCATGCCGCTTTCTTTAAAGAAGGAAACATATTTGGTGCTGGACAGCCAAGCCCCAGTCTACCAAACGAAGCAGTTTTTGAGAACTGCGTCTTCCCATCATTACCACTTTTGTCCATATAAAGCAAAAGTTTCACTAGCTGTAAGTGAAAAATGGAATTTTCTAAAATTCCATGTAGATGACACTTAAAAATGTTAATGTATGATGAGGCTACATCAGTTTTTTCTGAAACAAACCAGTGAGGAACCTAATGGCAATGAGCCTTCCCTGAAGTTCCATAAAATTTATTTTTTAACTGTTTGGTGCTTGAAACTTTTCCTGGTTGAATGCCCGTATTAATCACTTGAAAACTATGGAAACTGTTGAATAGTCACGGCTCATAGAGATTTACAACCCTTCATGGAAGTGACAAGAAACATTTCAATGGGAGAATTCGTCACTGCCTAATGTTTGGGAAGGATGTTGACAGTGAAGGTATACCTGGAATAGATGGTGCAGCCTTGGCGGGGTTCAGTGCTTTCTTCCTGAGCTCGTTTTTTTTTCCTCCACAAAGATTCTGAGTTATTAACTAATGAGTCAGAAGACAATAACATTTTATTTCTATGCTGAGATGCAGTCTTTCCTCTGCATACACTACTCATGTTCTAGAGAGAATAGATCCAGGGATGGGAATAGTTGTTCTGGCCCCAGAGCATTTCCCTGGGAAAGGTCCCACTGACTTCAGTGGGATGGGACTTCGGAAAAGAACTGAGATGTCTTTGCATGCTGTTTTATGGATAACCACAAATACATATTTTCAGAGGTCCATGACATGTTACTGATCTATCTGCAATGAGGCAGGGGACACACTACGGCTATTTTTTCAGCCACTGCAGAAGAGCCATAGCTGAAGGTGTGACTGCCAGGGGTAATGTCAAGTACTCTGCACTCCCTGCAGGGTGGTACTGAAACAATTGTGCTTTGCTGCAGTCTTCAATATGGTTCATTCCTTGGAAATAGAAATAGGGAAGGCTTATAGCCGAGTTTAAATTTCTTTGCTCATGCTTATTTTTCAAAATTAATGTAAGCATCATTCCTCTGCAGAACAGAGGGAGGACTGAAAATTTCCTAGGAACATATTGCTGCTTCTTTCACTGGCCGGCTTGCAATTCACTGCTCAAAATAGCTTGTGTTTTTTAAGAATCACATGTGAATACAGAACATTTCCATCTTAAAAAACATCTTTGCCTTCCATTAAAAACCTGGAGATATAAATGAGAAGTTCGTTTATTTATTTATTTATCTCTATGAACCACAAGAATTTTTTTTTTTCTGATTTTTTTTTTTTTTACATACTTGCTTTTCTGGAGGGGATTGCTTTTGCTTTGTTCTAAGCTCATGCACAGTATGTCAAGACAAATTTAAGTCTCTTCCATCAGTGCATTTCAGTGGATCAACTATATCCATGTTCCTTCCCTACATGATACACCTTAAGCCAAAGTAAGTGTTTTTAAGATTCCCATCACACCTGCTACCTGCTTTTTGAAGAGCCAGGTACCCTCCTGCTGAGATGTGGAAACTAATAAGAAATTTTCATTGTGTGATCAGTGTGCAGTGCATTGCTGGCTTTGCTAAACAAATTACCGATTCAGAGATTTTGCAGTACTTAATGCAGCAAGCAGCAAATTCAGTAGCCACTTTGATTTAAATTATAAAAGTAGCCCATTGAACCTGGCTATTCAAAATCCAGTCTTTATAGGATCATTTACTTTAGTCATGATACCTTAAATGATCCTTGGGCTGGAATGAAAGGACAGCTCTCAACCCCAACAGCTTAAGTAGTCCAATACCATGGGCTAATCCCTGACTTGTTTGTTGTGACTACTCTTCTCTCTCTCCATTTTTCTGATTCCTTCCGTGCCAAAGATTTTTAAATTGGCAGTGTATAAGCAGATTGAAGTTCCTGGTTTTGTTACAAAGGTAAGGAATGATATGAGCTTTCGATACCCAGAAGGAGGTGAAAAACTGCTTGTAAATATGGTATAGGAACACGTACTATATTTACTCCTAAATTAAATATACTTACTTTAAACAGACAGTAATGAAAAGGTTTAAAAACTGTCACTGGAATTTCTTTCTTTAGGCTTTGACTTAAAATTTCATTGAGATGAATGTGTTTGCACCTTTCAAAGAAATTGTTTAGGACTAGTTCAGGGCTCAGCAAGACAGAACTGCATCAGCTTGAACTTGGCTCATATTTTAAGTATGTCTCCAAAACCATATGGAGTGGATATTTTGTGTTAGCTTTAAAAAATGCAGGATGAGTTTCTGCAGCACAGTTCTGTAGCAAGAGCAGATTCTGGGACAAGTTCCATAGCCTGAGATTTACTGGGTCCAGGATATGCTTAATAGCCATCACTCCATACAGGGTAGGGTTCCACGTTTTGTGACTGCTCACCATGCTGAGTCAAGAAATATTTATATTTGCAATTACCTAAGAAACTAGGAATTAGAATTTTCCAGCTTAACACTTGCAATATTAATGATCATTAGCATCTAAGCCTTATTATTTATTATTTATGCAATGCTAGAGATATACACAGCTATTTTACAAACTACTGAGCCCCTCATTCTGAAGAGATTCCTATCTCAAGTAGATAAGAAAGAAAATACTAAGCCAGGGGTAATTTGGCAACAATAAGGTATGCACATGAAAACAACAATTTCATGTTGCGATCTACAAGTCCCTTGAGGACTGCTGATATATATTTAAATGGTTCTCACGTGTTGTCACTTGAAAATACGACTGTTTTGCTATGCAGATTGCCTGCTGCACATTAAGCAAAATGTCATTCATTTCATTGATAATTTGGTTATTTAGGAAACAATATGAGATCAATTCTGCTGCAAATCTTCTGGAATTCAAGATTTCTTCTCTGTGTGCTGCCAGCCCTGCAAGATGCAGTGGGATGACATGCAACTACTGAAGCTCCATGCTGGATTCACTAGTAAATACTCAGCACTCAGTAATGTTTATTCATCCTATGCTCTGCCCTGAATGCCAGTCTAGGACTCTCCAGTTTCTCACTAACACCCAGAGGTAGCAAATGATTTCTCAATAATGCAGTATTCAGCTGCTCAATTGCTCCCAAGCTACATAGCTCATCATGTTTTTACACTGCTCTGTATCTGCAGCCATTTCAATTCCCAGCAACAGCGAGAATGGAAAGAAGCAGCATTCATTTCAGGTAAGTCTAAGCTTAAAAAAAAAATAAATGTATTTTTCCAGACAAATACGATGAGTGTGTAGGGAACAGAAACAGTCCCTAACACTGCACAGCTACTCCCAGCACTGCAGATAATTCTCACTGGTGTGTGGGACCCCTACTTCATCTCTCTCTCCCTTCTTTCCTTTATTTGTTAAGAGAGCCGTTAGCTAACAGCTTCCACCAGTGCCCTCTCCTGTCTGCACCCTGGCACAATGTAGGTGACTACAATATCTGCTAGCTCTCCTGGCCATTGATTCTGCCCTTCTGTGTGGTGGCAGCAGTGACAGCATCACAACCGTGAGCCTGGTCAGTGAGGACCCCAACCTCCCTTACAATTCCAATAGCTTCTCCCTCCTCTCCTGCATCCCATCTGGGACTCCATCTTTCTCACTCCCTGTGGTGGTGAAAGGGCTGTGGGTTCAATGCTGCTGTAACCAAAAAGGCATTGCTGAAAACTCCCTAGGTTGTGCAGAACTGCTGCGGAAACACTTGGCAGACAGCTGAGCGCACCCTACCCTGAAGAGAACCTCATCCAAAGGCCTCCTTGGTGTACATATTGGACCAAACTAAGCATTTCTTACCCTGGACAGAAGCAGTCTTACTCACATCTTTAGCTCATTATGTAATGAACTCCATCAACCACCTTAAAGACCCCACGTAATGCATGCTGCCCTGGACAGCTGTGCCCTCCTTTCCCCGTCTGAGGGCAAGCACTAATGCAGGAGGTGTGTTTGTGGAGATGAGTTTGACATCTGCCTCATTTAGTTATCTCTTTGGCACCGTGTTCATTGTTACAGTACGTGCTGGAATTAATTCTGGTTTGCAATACTCTTAAACATTATAAAAGTATCTTAGGCCCACCAGCCATTGCTATGACTATCTGATAAACCTTTCCCCTCAGACTTTTGGAAAATGTAGCTCTTATTATTTTCTTTGTGATTTTGCTTAATCTTTCTATTTTGATCTGCAGTTCATGGGTTTAGTAAGGGGCTTTATTGTTTGTATTTATGTTTATTTCTTTCCTTCTTTGAAGTTTTAATACTGTTTTTTAATAGATTTATATTTTTTGGACTCTGCAATGAACTTTGAAACTTCAGATTTTCCACCCTTCCTCAAGTTACCCAGCCATTAAAAGAATATCCTTTCAGTAAATGTTCCTTTTTCCCATTCACCCTCTATACAACAGGGAGATGTTCTGAAAAACGCTCCCTTCAGTGGCATCACAACAGTGCTGCGAGATTTTAATATTGTTGTACCAGCTGAACTCATGCCTTTTTCTACCTCCCTACACCAAAGTGAAGAGTGAAGGTTATCTGGTTCCTTTTCTTCCCAGATGACAAATCAGGCAAAGTAGGGGCGGTTGGCTTTCATACTACGTGCACTTATTACTGCAATCCCAATGGCAGAGGCAAACTGCATCCAACTGCGGTGGTTCAGCTAATGAAAACAAAAGGACATGCAGCAGAAGTCTCATCTTCCTCCTGACAGGCTTAAGGCTGAAGGCTGTGAAAACCCAGAAACTGAATAATTCATTACCTCTTTCTTGTGGACCTTCCTGGTGGAATCTGGCCTCACCCAAATTGTATAGATTGGCTGGTGATTTCTGCAGTGAGGTCTGCCTGCCTGAGCCTGCTCCTCGAGAGGAGATCCTAACTGCAGGAGAGGATCAATACATCACATCACCAGCCTGCATCATAACGAACGTCTCGTACAGACCATCGTATTATGTGATTCTTCCCTCACAACTGTTTGTATATCTAATGATCAATAGGCAGGATTTGTGTCTTACACATCTCTGATCAGAACTGAGCTCTGAAATGATTTTAAGAGAGACCATAAAATTTATATTTGTAATTTAATTTAACTTTAGTGTTAAATTATATTGCAAAAGTGCATCATGTTGACTGCATGATATAATTCTTTATACTGCACTTGGTATAGCACGGAGTGTCAATTTCAGAGAGCCTGTCTGGACAAAATTAAATTTTAATGTAAATAGGAACATATTCATTGATTTCAGCCTATGTTGGATTTGGATGGTTTTTCACCATTATATGTGGGCTAAGGCTGGTCTATAGTAATTATGGGGAGGAGCTAAGCACTTTGGACCAAATACTTGTCCTGTGAACTAATCTCTTTTTCCTACATTGAATTGTGGGTTAGGAATCGACACAGCTACCCAATAGCTGTTGTTCTACCTCACTGCTTCAATGGCCTGCTGCAAAGCACATGGCATTTGAAAGCTTTCTTAATTTCATTTCCTCTAGATAGTTGAAAAATCATACAGCTTACAATTTATTCCCATTTCATTATTATTGCCTCTTCTCCTAACATAATCACCACTTTTATTTCTTACATAGTACCGAGTGAAGGGCAAAACAAGAGTGACTTCTGAGACTGCTGTACACTTCAAAAGATGTTCCTCTCTGCCAAGTGCAGATATTTAATAATCAGAATTCCTTAATAATCCACCATCACAGCCAGTCCAAATAGTATCTTTAGGAAACAGCATAGGAAAAGTCTATTTCCCTGTTTGCCATCTCCCATCACTATCATGTGTGATGTTGCTGCATGACATTTCCTTCCTCTCTATTTCTCCAAAGGCAAACAAGCTACTATTCAGCAGTTCTGAGTCAAGTCCTAACACCTGATATTTCTGATATGCAAACTGTTAGCTTTTTCTATTTGTGCAACAATGAGACCTTATCAGTTTTGCTGCTTTTCATTTTGACTATGAAATGCATCCACTATCACTCTTCACCTGTGTCCCTGGCAGCTCCCTTAGGTTTAGATGGAAAAAGGGACGTTGTTTGCCTTGTTCAAAATACTGCTGATCCAAAACAAATCACAGCATTATAAAAAAGATCAAGAGCACAGGGACTGCATTTGAATGCTGGCAGTTTTTAGTGTGCAGCTATATTACAACTCAGAAATAAGTTTAGGAATGTTTTTTGTGGTGAAATGGTCTGGAGATGGCAAATGCTGCCTTTGAGCTACTGAACAATAGGAAAGGTTATGCCTTGCCAAAATACAAGTCTGAAAATGTAGTGTTGCAGTTGAAGATTTAGTTTAGTGTGTAATTTTTTGACAATACTTCAAAACATATGCCACACATGAAGACACCCTTTATTCTGCAAAACAAAACATTACTATATGCCTTTGACTTTACAAATTCACTTTTTTACATTGCACTACTTTCAGGTTTCCTCGTACAAGAAATCAGCTTTCCTTCAGTCAACAGATACACATGAAGATTCATACATTCTGAGGCATACCACAAATATGATTCATCCTTCAGACTAACGTGTACATAGCAACTCTAATCTTATTTACAACCATGCAAAAATAAAGCTTTTTCCAGAGTATAAGCAGCTAGCTCTTCTGTGTCATGAATCCGTTCCCCGTCCATATAAAATCCTCTTGTTTCTATACTGCAGCTCAAGCACAAATGCAGTGTTTTTCACATAACCAGTTCTATTTTTAGCCTGAATTGTAGGAAGTCTGCAGCATTAATAAATGGAAGAGAAGTACAGAACTACACCGCATGGTAATGTGCCAATGCAAAAGCTAGCTTGGCCTTTAGCCAATGAACTGTGGTTAGACGTTAGAGCAATGAAAGTAAAAACACCACTTATAATGGAATGATTAATAAGCTGACAAACTTCCATGCATTTATTTCATACTTTTTGAATGCCAACCTTATTAATACCAACATATTTTTTATTTTATTAGTCATATCTCTCAGCTTGAAACATAGATATATACATGCATGTATATATATATTATATATGCAGTGGAGGTTTCCTTAATTCTGCATTTGAATAGAAGGGAACAATGTAAGAAGCAGATGATACTTTGCCGTGCAGAACTTGACACAGGAAAAAAAAGATTAAAGAAGAGCTTTTCTTTATAAACTAATAAAGCAACTCCACTAGACACTAAATCCATTGTTTCATGATTTTCTCTCCTATTGACTCTGCAGTTCCCTTGTTTGGTATCAAAATTATGAAAGCAAAAATCCTCCAGAGCCTTTACTCAGAGGACAAAAGTTCACAGTTCTTACAGGGACACAGTATTCTGTAATCTCTCCACTTCTCACCCAATCTACAAAACTTGTCCCAGCACAGTTACACGGTGGACAGATGGATGTTTATATAAAAGACCTTGTGCCTCAATAAAATTCCATTTTGGGGTTATATAAAAACAGCAATTACTGGAAAATGGAACTTTTTAATTAAACGTATTCGAAGAAAGTAGGGATTAATGACTTTAAAGTAAAGAGTATTTAATGCTTACCATCATAAATCATCCACTAGTGAAGCTGTATTATCACCATCAGCCAATGATGCTTTTAAGTATTGATAGTGTGTGCATTAACAATGCTTTAAACTGTCTTTGTAACAATATAGTTAGTAATACAACTAACATATACTTTGCCTTAAAGTTTGCATTCAAAATCATATTTTAGTAAACTTAATGCACAGCAGAAACCTCAAAAAATCACAATACACTTCGGATATGGCTAGCTTATATGAAGCTGGCCCAGTGAATTCAATATAAAGAACATTTTAATCTTTTTAGTAATGCTGAAATAGTAGGGTATGGTTCCTGATAATTGTACCAGAAAAAATGTAGAAAAACTGACCATCTGATTCTCTGATTTGTAGGTAGGAAGGAAATTGTTATTTTACACCTCAATTAAATACATGCCACAAAAACATGTGCAAAACTATTTACTGGTTCTGAATTTGTGCCTGCACAGATCAGAGCCTGGGTCGTGTTCATATTAAAAATCAAGCTCTGCCTCTGTACTTCACACAGATCAAATACTATACAGTGAGTACAGAAACCCACGCACAAAAGTCAAAAGAAAAAGAAACAACGCTAGGTTTGTTTTCCTGTTAAGAATTCTATTCAGGTACAGCAAAATCAATACTGTTTCTCTGACTGTACACAGTGTACCCGAGCTGTTCTGTCAGGATCTATACAAAAGCAGGGCTGGGATTTAAGGTGGGTGGACATGGCGGGGAGGTGTAACACTGGCACATGCTGCCCTGTGTCCTGGAGCGGCTGCACCTCGTCATCCCATGGGGCCATCGCCACCAGGGCCAGTCAGGGAAGGCAGTCCCAGGGAGAGGCACCCAGAGGGCCTCCTGGGAGGGAAGGTGCCACCACACAGCCAGACAGGGACAAAACAGCCTCTTGTCACTTGCCCACACTGCAGCATAGCCGAGATGGAAAGGTGGTGAGGTACCAAACCGACAGCCACTACACATTTAGAAATATCAGATTGCCCAATCTGCCTGCTATCTTCATAAATTAGACACTGGATCGCTCAATGGCCTTAGAACACATGATGTTGTACCTCCACTTAGCCTCTCCTGCATTAATCTTCTGTGACGTGAAATGACTAAGATCCACACTCCCTCTTTCCCACATGTAGGTACAGAAGTGAGCTACAAAGCTAACAGGAATAAATAATCTTCTTAACCCTTTGCCTGTTTCTGTTTTCCATCCCTGGTCTTTTACACACCCACCACATGGTAATTCCTCAGGTGCACCAGCACCATCAGGTGCTTCTTGTTGCAGCTGATGTCTGGTTTTGATCTGTGTCTTGATATGTCTGCACTGAATTTCTGGGTTACTTGTAGAGGTGAAATGGAAAAAGGGTAGAGCAATAACACGCAATTGTTTCACAAAAAGAAACCTTTCAGTGGTTGTCAAATTACTTAATCCACAGACTACTTAGATGAATAACTGAGCTGCCAGCTGAAAAGGAAATGTATTTTCTGGGAAGTCTTTCAAATTCATCCATTCATTTGAAGTTCTCAATAACAGAAATATTGAAAAAGGTCTTCTGTGTGTGTATCAGCGCTATGAGCTGCACTGCAGCGTTGCTCCCAGTGCCGATAACTGTGCCTCTGGGGCTGCCCTCAGCAGTACAGCCACCCTGGCATGAAGGCTCCTGGATACCAGCGATGCAGAGAGCTCTTCTTGTAGAAATTAACTTGACCAGCTCAAAGTTTTTCTCAAAAATATCTGACAGCTTACTTTTGTATCCACATGCTTCCTGCAGGATGAGGTATCACCTGCCAGTTCCACTCCTGCGTGAGATCAGCTATCACCAAAATCAGTTTAAAGACCACAACAAACGCTCAGTTAATTTGACAGAAATTTGATTTTGCACGTGCCTGATCCACGGTAGGTTTATCTTGCTTGGTGATCGCGTGCACAAAGGGCCAGTACAGATGGGGATGGCCCCACAGCTCTGGTGGGTGCATTCGTGCTCACAGGTACATGGGTGAGGCCTATCGGCTGCCCCTCAGCACGTGATGGAGTAGCACTGTGCTCATGTACGTATGGTGACTGCAGGTCCTGTTTGCTTTCTGTGGTGACAAGGAGCTTGACTACTTGCGCAGGCTTATGTTTCTGGATCAGGAACCCAAATCTTTGACTGTGTGCAGATAGCACTGTCTGTACATGA